ACCACCACCAGTAGGCAACGGGTGAAGTGTCTTGCCCAAGGAAACAACGACCGAGACTGTCCAAGCCGGGGCTCGAACCGGCAACCTTCCGATTACAAGGCAAACTCCCAACTCTTGAGCCACGATCACCCCAGATAAACCTGTCTGACTTCATTACTCGTGTACTATGAGTAATGAAGTCAGAAAGGTCTGAGGAGGAGAGGAAAAGGAAAAACGACTGATACTTATATTTATAACATACATATTTTATTTAATATATATTTTACACCATAAATTGCAAATAAATTCTTAAAAAAAATCAGACTGTGATTTTCTGGATTTTTTTCTCATTTTGTTTGTCATAGCTGAGGTATACCTATGATAGAAATTACTGGCCTCTGTCCTCTTTTTTTAAATGGGAGAGCTTGCACAATTGATGGCTGACTCAATACTTTTTTGCCCCACTGTATGTGGTCCACTGTTTGTGTGACAGAAGGAGAAGTCTCTCTCTGTGCATTTGGAGAAATCTGCTGTTAAATCAGAACATGAACAAGGTTTTAGGTGGCATTAAAACACATGAAAATAACGCTGCTCTCACTCAGAGGTCATGTAAAGTAACTACACTGACACCAAGAGGAGAAAAACAGCTGGCAGCAAAGGCAGGGAAGTGTCCTTTCCAGCTAAACAGAAGAGGAATATATAGCCATATTTTGTTCAATACAATGGTGAACTGACAGATCCAGGATCAGTCCAAATCATTAGCAGTTTGATCCACGTATGGACTGAAGTGTATTTGTGAAAATGTTGGACTGTTCCTTTATCAGTATGTGTATGAGAGCCATGTAATATCCATTTGTGCATGCTGAAAGAGACTGTGCTGGTCTGACAGCCCTCCTCCTTTCAGGGTGGAGCCTGCTGGGGTCCGATGGTTGACACCAGGTCTGAGGAAGTGTAAGTGTGTTTTTAATTTGATTCATGAAAACAAAGCAGCACACATTCAACCATCTTCAAACTGTCACATCACTCATTTACATTTCTGATGTCAGGAGTCATCATCAAAGTGTCAATCAATGAACAGATGATGGATCAATAACTGCAGCTGGATTGTGTTTGTTCTCTCCATCAGATTCCTGTGAACTCACAATCGACACAAAGACAGTACACTCAAACCTCAAACTGTCTGACAACAACAGGAAGGTGACATGTGTGAATGATTTTAAGTTATTTTTTGATCATCCAGACAGATTTGATGTTTATTGTCAGCTGCTGTGTAGAAATGGTCTGACTGGTCGCTGTTACTGGGAGGTCGAGTGGAGAGGAAGCGTTTATATATCAGTGAGTTACAGAAGAATCAGAAGGAAAGGACGCAGTGAAGAGTGTTTGTTTGGATGGAATGATCAGTCCTGGAGTCTGAACTGCTCTGATGATGGTCCTCGTTCTGTCCTTCACAATAAGAGAGAAACATCCATCTCCTCCTCCTCCTCCTCCTCCTCTGCCTCTAACAGAGTAGCAGTGTATGTGGACTGTCCTGCTGGCACTCTGTCCTTCTACAGAGTCTCCTCTGACACTCTGATCCACCTCCACACCTTCAACACCACATTCACTGAAAGTCTTTATCCTGGATTTAGACTCTGGTCAACTGATGCCTTAGTGTCTCTGATTTTGAATCCTCCCCAGTTTGGTCCTAATCTTTGTGTGCTGAGTTAAGTGTAAAGAGTGTTCATGGATTCAATCAGTTGATGTTTTAAAGTGTTCTAAATGATTCCTTGTAAACTTCTTCCTCTTCAGTCCTTTAAAGATGGAAGCTGCCATTATTCCAGGATCCACATATTGTTTTACTGTCTTTTTCCACTAAAAGCTTCAATTCAATTTAATTTTATTCATAAAGTGCCAAATCACAACAACAGTCGGCTCAAGGCACTTTATATTGTACAGTAGATCCTACAATAATAGATACAGAGAAAAACCCAACCACCCTATGAGCAAGCACTTTGGCAACAGTGGGAAGGAAAAGTTTTCTTTTAACAGGAAGAAACACTGGCCTTTTGTAACAGTGAGTATGGCGGGAGATAGAGGCTGTATGCCCCATTGGAAAACTTTATTTCAATTTATTTGCATTTGTTTAATCCAAACTAAGAAATTCAGAATCAAAGTCCGAGTCACAAACTCTCATAATACCAAAAAAACCTCTCCCCTCTATCCCCAAAACCTTTGGCTGTTATGTTACGGCTGTGAGAAGGCAGGAGAATCAGAATCAGAATACTTTATTCATCCCGAGGGAAATTAGGGTTACTGCAGGCAGCACGCTAATGGCGCATGCGCACTTACAAAGGAACCTTCTGACCAACTTTACACAAACATCACATTGGGCAGACATGTCAGAAAGGTAGGCTGATAGGAAAAAACAACGAAAATACATAACATGAGATAAGAGGAGGAGAAAAAAAAACTCCACTCAGACTGAGCTCCTAGTGGGAGAAGGACCCAAAGTGCAGACTCCGGAGACAGAAAGTAACTCAAAACAGTTTTAATGCTGAACTCAAAAGGGTAACAAAACTAAGAATACAAAATACACCTACGCAGACAGAACACACAGCAAGATAAGGGTAGATCGCGACACGGACACAAAGAAACACAAGGCTTAAATACACAGAGGGAGCAATCAGGGAATGAGTAACAGGAGGGAAACACAGCTGGGGCAAATCAGGCCTAACGAGACAAAGGAAGCACAATCAGAGGCATTTACATAAGACACGGACTTTCAAAGTAAAACAGGAAACATAACACAGACTGAACTTACAGACACAGACAGGCACTACAGAGGGAACAGAGACGTGGGACCAGGGCAGACACAGACACTGACTGGACACGGGGATATAGCAAACAGGGGAGACAGCAACTAAGGATAACACAGAGACATAAACCAAAAGACAGAACTCTAACAAAGAAACCAGAGACTAGAAATTATTAAGAATATAATAAACTCAAAAACCCTGGGTCAATAACCCAGGCATCCTAACATTGGCAAGTTAACAGGAAACCCCTGGAAAAAAAAAACATCTTCGTCCAAACTGTCACCACTCCTAACCCCCTAGGGTCTCCCCTGTCTCCCCAAAACAAAACAAAGCCAGAACTTGCAACATCAAAAATGTTTTACTCTACTTGCGTAGCCTATGACTCTAAGTTGGCCCTCTAGCTCCGGGACAGATTCTGGTTAAATTGGTCGCAAAAAACTCAGGGAGTTTGTCCGCTGGGCGGTTAAGTTTAAATTTGTCGAAATTGTGTAGGTGTTAAAATGTCAGGCCTGATACTGCAGTTGTAATTAAAAGACGTCTGTGTAATATAAAAAGAGACTGTGTGTGTGTGTGTGAATGTGAAAATGCAAATTAGTAAGCAGTGAACTGCTTAAACCATAGTTGGTTTCACAAATACTGCTGCAAACATTGTTGAATGCATGTGTTTAAGACGCCATTTATGTTTATTAGAGGGCTATAAATAGTTTTGAGTTGCTGTAGTGGATGTATAGTTATTGACTGAGTTTTGATATATATATATAAATATATTGAGGGCATTGTACATACTTAAGACTAACATATTACTTTCAGTAGTAACCTCTCTTCAGCAATAAATGCTGGTGTGTTTTATTTTTTCCATTTTATGTGTGTGCTGTGAGAATTAATAGAGGTTTCAATTGTTTTTCTTTGACTTGCTCTTTCTGATTATGAAAGGCATGTCTAAAATACTCTTAGGAAAGCGTATTTTGAGTTATATTCCTCAACTCCTGTCACAGTTTAAGTGTGTGAATGCTGTAAGTAGTAGGTTTTGAGTGATTGGGTGTGATTTGTACAAAAATAATAAATAAATAATAATAACACTACGAAAGTTGATAGTAGAGTGAGTGAAAAAGTGGAAGTTTGAGAGAAAAGGCGGTGTGTGTCAGATGATTCCTGATGTCTGAAAGAGCTCTGCTGAGCACGCTGAAGACTGTGATGTGAATGCTGACAAATGCAAAGAATTTAGTATATTTAAAAGTGTGTGTGCGTGAAATAAGGGTGCATTGTTTTTAGATCAAGACTTAGTAGAACGAAAGAGTTTGATTAGGCTGTAAAATAGGAAAGAGAAACAGAAAATATGGCTCTGAGCACCTGCATGTGTGACAGGAACTTTACATGCCCATAAAAGGAACTGACTGTGTCAAGGGAGCACAGAGAGAGAAACAGACGAGTTAAACTCTAGGCAGATGAAGCAAATGGAGGTTTTAAGAAAAGAAATGAAAAGGATATTAATTGTATGCTTTAGTGTGTCAATACAGGTGGACTTCT